ATTTCACACGGAAATGTCTTTCGCCTCCAAGGTTACAGACATCTGAGCGTAGGTATCACGGTGGGTAGGAGTTGAGTCGCAAACCGACGTGCTATCAATTTGATAATGAAAGTTGATGAAGCTCGAGATTTCTGAGACCACTCATAAGTAACGGTGATCTGCGTCACAAAATCAAGGTAGGCATCGCCTGTCAAGTTAACGGAGTTCAACTTCCTATTGCACTCTGAGGTACTTAGCAGTAGCATCCGGTAACGATGTGAAAACCCAAAAATTTTGGCAACACTTCCTTTAGGGAAGTGTGCTCAAATAATATTTACTATATAAACTCTAGAAAGAAAACTCAAGACTCAGAAAATATATGAAAATAAACTAACTCTTTGGTTTTTATAGAAATTTCGGTAGCACTTCCTTTAGAAAGGAAGGCGTTCAGAATTCCTACTGACTCCAAAGACTAATTATATCCTATCGTAGTTGACATTTCTGAATCTTGACTAACTCTAAGTTTTTAGCATGAATTTCGACAACATCTCCCCTAAGGAAAATAGACTCTCACAACTTCTACTAACTCAGAGGCTAGTCAATGCTCTATCAAATCAATCACGCATGAAAAGATAAATGCGAAAACAAAAGTGAACATCTACCTGCCTATCGCTCAAGCATAAGGCGAACACTAACAGACTACCCTACTATGCAGAAAACAAACAGAGTTTGGACAAAAGACAAATCATTGTCAGCAAGCATGTAACGCATTCAACCATTTCAAAACAAGGGTTCGTTCATCCAAAGTTTTCATCATTCGCTTATCCTTATCACAAAAACATAAACATGTATCTTACTTACCTAATTTTAATTTACAAGTTGTTCTCAGTCAAACCCCTTGCAATCATTAACACACTAGCCTAGACTATTCTCACAAGGAGAAGAGTCAGACTTTTGTCACAAAAAAAAACTGACTGACTTAGCAAAGCGGCCGGATCAGTCAGGAGGACCTCATTTTCAACCCCATTTCAATGTGTTAGGCAAACGAGCAAAGCGACCAGATAAATCAAGAGGACCTCATCTTCAGCCTCATTTTAATGTCTTAAGTAAACGAGCAAAGTGACTCAATCAGTCAGGAGGACATGATCTCCAGCCCCATTTCAATGTCTTAAGCAAACGAGCAAAGCGACCGGATCAGTCAGGAGGACCTCATCTCCAACCCCATTTCAATCTCTTAGTCAAACGTGCAAAGCAGTCGGAGTAGTCATGAAGACTTCATCTCCAGCTTCATTTCAATATCTTAAGTAAACGAGCAAAGCGATCGGATCAGTCAGGAAAACCTCATCTCTAGTCCTATTTCAATGTCTTAAGCAAATGAGCAAAGCGATCGGATCAGTCAGGAGGATCTCATTTCCAGCCTCATTTCAATGTCTTAAGCAAACGAGCAAAGCGACCGGATCATTCAGGAGGACCTCGTCTCCAACCCCATTTCAATGTCTTAAGCGAACGAGCAAAGCGACTGGATCAGTCAGGAGGACCTCTTTTCCAGCCCCATTTCAATCTCTTAGGCAAACAAGCAAAGCGACCGGATCAGTCAGGAGGACCTCATCTCCATCCCCATTTCAATGTCTTAGGCAAACAAGCAAAGCGACCGGATCAATCAGGAGGACCTCATCTCCATCCCCATTTCATATCATCGCATGCAAAAATCGTGATTTTTCTCCATAATCAGATGAATTACCATGCATAGTAATTTTCCCTTTTGATTAAGTTAGAGTCTTGAAAAAAAAAACAAATCATATACACAAGTCAAAGTCAAACAAACCAAGCGCCAAGTTTGTATAGATAGGGGTAAGTTGGGATTCTTGTGGTATCGAGTCGGCCTACCCCTGAGTTCCCTGCCTGCAGAGTCCCGCCTGGGCTCCGGCAGAGCTCCCGCAATCGGTGGGTCAACCTCCCACAAAGGCCTTGATGAGGTCCTTCGGGTTGCAATCCCGCCTGCCGCCTTCCTCTCCAAATACAGACTAGACTGAGAGGAAGAAGGATAGAAGAAGAAAAAGTCAGACGCTCGAGATACGAGAAGGAGCCAACTCAACTCACATGAGAGGGTCTTGGTGCCTTTAAATCCTGAGGGCCCTGCAATGACGCCCAACTGCGTGCATCGGTTTCAACAGGAGGCCGATGTCGCAGCAAAATTCCAACTCAACTCAGCAGTGACAATCCCCAACCCTCGTTTGTAGAATCGTAATTCAGGCTTCTCACTACCTCCTCCGCTTAGTGAACGACCAGGTGGTAGTAAAGGACTCTGAAGTCAGCAGCCTATGAGGCTGCTACAACAATCCAACCTAGTAATAGTCCACTGGTGCTGAGAACATTAACAACCACTACTCAATTGTATGTCAGTGAGAACTCACTGCAACAAAAACCTTCGGACGCACAATAGTAATCCCAACTGTGTGCCATGGTGACAGATGAAAACATCAGCAACTGCACTTCAATCATACAATAGTTCGCAAACGCAGACTACCTATGCGATAACCTTCAACAATTCGCTTGAGTAGGCAACAACTCATATGGTTGCAACTAGGATAAACGTCGTCTGCTGGTGCTGAGAACAGCAACAACCACCACTCAATTGTATGTCAGTGACAACTCACTGCAACAACAACCTTCAGACGCACAACAGTAATCCCAACTGTGTGCCACAGTGACAGATGAAAATAACAGTGGCTATACATCGATCATACAGTAGTTCGCAGCAACAAACTTCATATGCGGCAACCTTCAACAATTCGCCTGAGCAGACATCAGCTCATATGGCTGCAGCTAGGATATGTGTCTTCACTCTCCAGTCACTGGCCGATTCAACTGCTATAGGTGCCTTCACTCTTCAACCATACAATAGTTCGCAACCGCAGACTACCTATGCGACAACCTCCAACAATTCGCTTGAGTAGGCAACAACTCATATGGTTGCAACTAGGATAGATGTCGTCTGCTGGTGTTGAGAATAGCAGCAACCACCACTCAATAGTATGTCAGTGACAACTCACTACAGCAACAACCTTCAGACGCACAACAGTAATCCCAACTGTGTGCCACAGTGACAGATGAAAATAGCAGTGGCTATACATCGATCATACAGTAGTTTGCAGCAACAAACTTCATATGCGACAACCTTCAACAATTCGCCTCAGCAGACATCAGCTCATATGGTTGCATCTAGGATAGGTGTCTTCACTCTTCAGTCACTGGCCGACTCAACTGCTATAGGCAACAGCTATATATATATCGTCACAAACAGAACTGCCCGGTAAAACCGTAGGCAGAGAGAGAGAAGAGGACAACAAACGAGGGGCTGTGACAAATATATATA